TCAGATTTTACATAAAAGGTGTTAAAGATTTAAAAATGTCCTCTCAGTAAATCTTAAACTCAGCCACGGGGAAAAGCCCTCCCAGTGAACTTGCTTGCCAGACACAGAGCCCCAGGTAACACAGACTGTGAAGTGGTCCTTTCTGGAGCGGCCCCTCATACCTTCCAGGCAAGCTGAGTATCAGCCCTCTTAACATTATTTACCTTCCAATCAACCGGGGTGGCAACCCTCTTTTCTGCTGTCAGCTGGAGAGAGATAACTACTCTGAGAATCTCATCAAAGTTCCTTCCAGTGGTAGCTGGATAGAGGATCGACAGCTTCAGTTTCTTATCAGGACCAAAAATAAACACCTGCAAAGCACAGAAAGGCATACACAGAGTTCCTGGTGTGTTTTTTTTACAGTAAAGCCACTTAGAAAATGCTGCAGTCATGAAAAATGTAAAAATCAAGGATACAGCAAACTTAATCTGAGTGGCTGGAGTATAGTTTTCTTCTCTATTATTATTTTTCTAAATTCAGAAAGGAATTGTATTTGGTTCTGGCTGAGAAAACTGAGATGCAAATTAATCCATAAACAGCCCCAGGAAAGAAAGGTACTAGGTCAAAATCTGCAAACTAGAAAGATTATCATCAAAATAACACTAATGGGAGTTGACAGTGGGCCTTAAATAGTTGTACATTTATGCAGATGAGGGACTGGGTTTGTTCCACAGCTTCGAACCAGTTCCGCCCGGCTCAGTCATGGATTTTTAAAGTTATGGTGAACTGGAAAGATATCCGAAACAGGAAAAATTACGGGTTGAAGCCGTTAGAAACTTAATCTCCCTATTAGAGAACAAGGGCAGCATACGCATTGCATAACAACCAAATCTCTTGCCCTTGGATTTTGAGCACAGTTTGAAGTAGTGCTGCCCTGCTCAAAGATGGCGGCTGACTCTGCTACTTTGAATGTGTGTTGCTCTCCTACAGTCCTGCCAATAATCCAATCTCACACATCAGGCTCCTAAAAGGGCTCACTATGCCTCTTCTGAATCTCCTATTCCAGGGCTTTGACCCATAATTTTTCCCATTCTGGTACCGTGCTGAATCTGCCAAATTATAAAACTTTGGATCTGTTCCTGTCTCGCTTTGTTGGCCATGACTGAACTGGTTTGAACCGGTTGGAAGCCCTATCTGTTCTCTAATGGGTAGAGGACAGAACCTGTAAGAGTTAAAAAACACAACCTAACAGTTAATCTAAAGCACAGATGATAACTTTAAAGGGGCAGAGAGCCTAAATTAATGGTAATGAAACAATCTAGGTAGAGACAATGAGAATGGTGACACAGTGTGAAGTATGTCACCAATGTGACTGAACTGTTGATGAAGAAAATGTGAATGGATATATGTTTGGTTGTGGCTACTGACACCAAAAACAAATATTTTTTTTAAAAAGTTAAAAAACAGATCTGCTTTAGGGAGAAGGAAATGGCCCATCACTTTAAAGAGAGGGCCATCAGGAAAGCTATAGAAAACACTTCTCATTTCTAGATGATCTCTGAGGAAAAACTACTTATTTTTATGTAGATTTCCACTAGCTATGAATTAAGCAGTTTAACAATTTAGTTGAAAGATTCAACCACCTTGCACTGCCATTACAGATAATCGGTGAGATTAGGACCAATACACAGTTATACCATAATGAGATATTTCCACGTTTCCTCTAGTTGGTCCAAGCACTTATATACAGATACATAGCCTGGTCAGTCACGCAGACCATATAGTACATTTCTAAGACTCACCACACGAGCCGTCACAGGCATGCCCTTTTCATCCTTCTCCGCTGGGTCCAGCATGCCCAAGAGGATGGCAAGGTCTCGATTCTTATCATCGATGATGGGAAAAGGTAACTTTTCTGTGGGCTCTTCACCATTGTATGCATTGATATCCTGAAATGCAGGTGAAAGGTGAGAGAGAACTCTAAACCAGATACATCCTCTGAATTTAGCTGGTTAAAAGCCATAAGCCTGCAAGACAGGGATGAGGACGAAAATCATAATAATTTTCTCTAAGCAACTTTAATAATAAAATAAACACTCCTCATCCCAAATATTCACTGTCAGAAATAAAAGGGTATAGGACTTAGGTCGTAACCATGGACACTAAAGCCCTTTTACACCCAATTCTCTTAAAATTTGACATGCTTTTACTGCCTTTAGAAAGCAGCAGTAAACCCTTCAAAGGCTGAATAATGTAGTTAGTCCACAATCCAAGGTTCCTCTGGGTACCCAAATGTTATAAAGACCAGCAGAAACAATGGGTTCATTACATCCATCACACCTGGAAATAATGCCATATGCAAAGAAAATTCTGTATAAAACAGGTATCAGGAAATGAAAAAAAAAAAATCACAAAACATAAAGCAAACACAAGAATGGAGAGTTGAATGTGTATGTTAGGGGTAAGTCAAAGGTAAATCTCTCATGGATGAAATGGCAGAGGTAAACTTATACTAGGGTGAAATCCACACAGAAAAACCAAGCACTTAAAATCTGGACTAAAGGAAAATACTGTGCTCTCCTCCCCTAATAAAACTTCAACTCATTTACTCATTTCTACTTTTCCTATCCCTGGAAGCTTTTTTTGGGGAAAAAAAAATCTAGCTTCATTAATCAAGCATTGATATAGTACTTAAGGTGGGCTAAGTACTGTGTTAAGTACATGTGAAACACAGATGAGTAAGACACAGTTCCTGGCTTCAATGGAACTTCTAATTTGGTTAGATGATTCCTTTATGAAGCAACAGCAAACACAAACCTGTGATAATTCAATGGCAGACTGTAAATGCTGAAGTTTACTGACATCTCCGAATGGAGGGCCGATGAGTTAGGAACGACTGAGAAAGAAGTAGGACTTCTACCTGGCCCCCTGAAGGGTGATGGGTAAGATTTTTCACAGGGGAGAAAGAAAGACATTTCAAGGGCAGAAAATTAATGGCAGCATGTAGGCAAATCAGCATAAACTACTGACAGTGAGGAACCTAGCCAGGTAGAGTTGGCGGAAGTAATGCAAAAGAGGAGTTAAAATTGGAATAAGGGCTACATATTAAGGGGAGTCTTGAAAGTAAAATTGGGGTTGACGGCATATGGATTGCTCAGCAGAGACATGACAGGATTGAAGTGGCAATTATAAGCTTTTTTTAATCCATTATCTTTTTTTCTTAAATTTTATTCATTTTGTTGTTGTTGAGAATATACACAGGACAACACACCGATTCAATAGTTTCCACATGTACAATTCAGTGACATTGATTACATTCTTCAAGTTGTGCAACCATTCTCACCCTCTTTTTCTGAGTTGTTCCTCCCCCATTAACATAAACTCACTGGCCCCTAAGGTTCGTATCTAATCTTTCGAGTTGCTGTTTGTCAATTTGATCCCATATACATAGATAGTTTTTAAAAAAGCATAATGTTCAAGGCAGACTTTTTTACTAGTTAAACTACTGTTTGGTTTTAAGAAGACTTTAGGGGATATTTTTGGCTTAAGGTTTAAAGATTATCTGAGGGCACTAAATTTCAGGGGTTCATTCAGAAAGTCTGGCGTCCATGAGAATTTTAAATTCTGTTCTGCATTTTCCCCCTTTGGAGCAGGATTCTGCTATAGAATCATTCATCAAAATGTTCAGTAATGGTAGCCAGGTACCATTTAGTCCCTCTGGTCTCATGGCAAAGGAGGCAGTTGTTTATGAAGGCAATTAGCCACACCTATTTCTCCCTCATTTATAAACTTTGAAACGGACAGCAACAAATTAATCTCAACTTCCCTTCTGCTGTTACTGGCTGCCTATCAAGGCAACATGACTAAGTAATAATGTGGCTTCATGCTAGAGGCAACTTGAGGTTTCATATATAACCAGCTGTATGTCAGTTTCGGCACTGCTTCTGATGGTTGGAACTTGTTTCCTAATAACGCAATCACAATTTTGAAAACTTCTAAGACGGCTTAAACGAATCTGGTCATGCTCCTATACTTTAAAAAGTATTACATAATGGGCTATAAACTCTTTCTTCAGTGACAACATTGTAATTATTGCTAACCCTGCAACCGATTGTTAGTCAGCCCTGCCAGTTCCATGATAGGCATTATACAATAGCCATAAACAAAAAAGAACCACATGGTTTGGCTGTATTTTATGCTAAAACAAAACAAAACAAAAAAAACCTAGCTGCCACTGAGTTGATTCCAACTCATGGTGACCCCATGCACTGCAGAATAGAACTGCTCTATAGGGTTTTCAAGGCTGTGACCTTTCAGAAGCAGATTGCCAGACCTTTCTTCTGAGGCACCTCTGGGTGGGTCTGAGCTACTAATCTTTCAGTTAGTAGTCGAGCACTTAACCATTCGTGCCACCCAGAGACTCCTGTATTCTATTGTTGTTGTCAGGTGCTGTTGAGTCAACTCTGACTCATAATGACCCCATGTGACAGAGTAAAACTGCCCCATAAGATCTTCTTGATGTAATCTTTGCATAAGCAGATCACCAGGACCCTTTCCTGTGGAACTGCTGGGTGAGTTCAAACTGTCAACCTTTTGGTTAGCAGCTGAGTGTTTAACTGTTAGCACCATTAAAACCTGTTGCCATCGAGTCGATTCCAACTCACAGGCGACGCTACAGGACAGAGCAGAACTGCCCCACAGGGTTTCCAAGGAGCAGCTGGTGGATTCAAACTGTTGACCTTTTGGTTAGCAGCCGTAGCTCTTAACCACTGTACCAGCAGAGCACCATTAGGGCACCTTTCAGTCTATCCTAAATCAGGCTAATTTCTAGTCACTGCCATCTATTACCAAAAAGAACATTAGTTTGAGGTTCAAATCAGATTGCCATCATTTTCTAGCCAGGCAACCTTGAACAAGTCCCCTCCAACTCCGAGCAAAAAAAAACACAGAGGGAAAAACCTATATACCTCCCTTAAGGGGCTGCTGCTAGGCTCTAATGAGAAACTGCCCATTAAATACTGCAGAGATGCCAGTTAACATTCACTGCCAAATATAAGCAATGAAAAAAAAAACTATCCTAAGAGCACTAGAACTGCCCTTCCCTTTTGAACCCAACAGCTGCTCCACGGAAGAAAGATGTGGCAGTCTGCTTCCATAAAGATTTACAGCCTTGGAAACCCCTATGGGGCAGTTCTACTCTGTCGTACAGGAATGCTATGAGTTGGAATCAACTCGAAGGCAGTGGTTTTTTCTCCTATGCATGCTTCTTCCTATACACTTAGGATTAACTGCTATGAAATGGCCATGGGATGTAGCCCCAGGTCACCAACGCACAAGTCAGTAAAATAATATGTTTTATTCAGTTGTGTGTGAAGTGCTTGACATAATGCCTAGTACACAGTAAGCATTTCTCAAAAGTTTGCTACTCTTATTTAGTAGTACATTGCAACAAAGTCCTTAAAATGTTCTCAAGCAAGTTTAGGCAGCCAAATTACAGTCCAAGTAAATTCTTTTGCTGGAAGTAGACAATAACTTCATTCATTCAGCAAATATGGACTGAGTGCCTAGGATGTACTGAGTAACAAGCACTGTTCCAGTAGTGCACAAAACCAGACTCTGCCCTGCTGGACACCCTACACGCTGGTGGGGAGAGACAAACAAATGAAACAAGCAATATGCAGAATAATTTAGATGGTGACAAGTGCTAGGAAGGAAAATTAATCAAAGGGGAATAGGAACTGTGGAGGGGACTTATAATTTAGACAAGGAAGCCAAGGAGGACCTTAATGAGGTGTCATTTGAGTAGAGACCCACAAGAAGTGAGGGCAAGCCACACAGATACCAGGGGTGAGAGGAGCCGTCCAACTATAATTCTGGCTATATTTTGAAGGTGGAGCCAACAAGCTTGCTGATGAATCAGATATATGATGTGAAAAACCAATAGGAGTTAACGACGCCTCCTGAATTTTTAGCCTGAGCAACTTAAAAAAATGCAGTTGCCATTACCTGAGATATGTAAGACCCTGGGATAAAGAATAGGAGCCCAGTTTTGGACATGCAGGGTTTAAGATGACTGGACAGCCCAGAGGTGATACCAAGGAAGCGGTGGTTATACCAGTTTGGAAGCCAGGAAAGTCTGGCCGTGAGATGGAAATTTGGGAATCACAGCATGTAGACAGTTTTTGAAAATGTGAGTGGATGAGCTCACCAAGGGAAATAGTGTAGACAGAAAAGAGAAGATGTCTAGGAAATGACTTTGGGGTAACTCCAGCATGAATTAGGAGTTGGGAGATGAAGAATCAACCCAAGGGCCTGAGAAGGAATAGTAAGAGATGCGATGCCCTGGAAGCTTCAGGATCAACTGAGTGATCATTTGGGTTGAATGCTACTGGTAGGCCAACAAAGATGAGGGTTGAGAACTGATCGTTGGATTTAGCAATGTGGAGGTCACTATGCAGTCTAAGACAGATTTTCAAATAATCAGTGAAGGTTGAACCTGAAGTTTACTTGTACCTTCACCTCATAAACCAAGCTACTCTCTATAACCTATAACCTCAGGCTCAAAGTACATGCAGGGCTTCGAACCTGTTAGTTCTGATTCTAACTCCTGATGAGAATTTGCATTTCTAACAATTTCCCAGGAAGTTATACACAAGAATCACCTGGGGATCTTGTTAAAATGTAGATTCTGATTCAGTATATCTGCAGTGGAAATGCAAACTCTCAGCAAGGAACTTGTTAGAAATGCAAATTCTCAGCAGGGGTTTGAACTAGAAGGAACTGGTTCCCAGCCCTGACCACATGCCACTGGTACTCTACCTTGCTCCAGGCAAGATGGTCTTCAACACTGTCTATTGAAAGGGCAATCATCTTAACATTCCTCTTGGCAAATTCTGGTGCCAGCTTTGCAGCTCTGCCAAGCTCCGTGGTGCACACTGGGGTAAAGTCCCGAGGGTGGGAGAAGAGAATGCCCCATCTGAAATGAAATGACGGAAAAGGTCACAACTGAATGAAGAGGCAACTAACATCCTGCACAGTGAGAAGTCACAATTCCTGGATCAAGATAGGCATTTTCTTTTTTAAATGAATATTCATGAAGACATTTAAACTTTTCTTTTGAGGGATGCTTTTCAACCTTATTACCTCCAGAAAAGCCTATGTTCACAGCCCAATTCAATCAGAGGTATGAAATTCAAGATACAAATATTTAAAAAGATTGTGATTTAGGGGTGTTGCCTCCTTTAATAACTACGGGGCCACCCTGACTCCTTTTCAGCTAATATAACCTGTGCTACTCAAACCAAGTAGCTTATTGAAATACCTTTTTTTCTCCTTCTGACCCTCTTCTGCATTTTTTCCTAAGCACAGAAACTCTGACATTCAGCTCCAATAATGGATGTCCCAACATGCTCTGAATCCAAACAAATGCCTGACTGCAGTAATGAACAGATTATGTAACTGGAAATAAAGAGGTTTCCATGCTCTATTTGTACATAAAATTAAGGTTGACACTTGGCTTCTTTGGAGTGAATGGATACAAATTCTTGTGTAAAACTACTCTACTGATCTAACCTGCCAAACAGGACACCCAATATTTGTCCCTAACAAAAGAACAGCACTTTAACAATTTTACCTCTCTCTTCACCTGCAGTTTCTTTTTCTTCTTGTCTCAGGCCAAGCAGGTAGACAACCGACAGACTACAATATAGATTTCTACAGCTACAGATTCTTAGTAAATACTAATATCTAAGTCATTGTTGTCTAAAGTGAAACTTGTATAGATGACTAGCATGTTTCAAGCTAAAAGTTACCAAAAACCTTTGGACTACCGTTTCTTTTTCTTGGGCAAAAGAAACTATTATATCGACTGAAAAGGAAAACTTAACACCCAGTCTCCACACTTCCATCCACTTACAACACTGAGGTAGGATCCTAAATTTGTAGATCACTAAATCTAGCCAAGATGCCAAGCTGACCTCGCCAAAGCTTGCTGAGTTTCCCTGAGTACACAGAAGGAAGCAGAGATAAGGGCGCATTATTCTCAACTACGTCTGTCACTCAAAACCCAAGGTGTCAGGAAACGAAAAGCCCTTCTTATAACAAGGATGGAGGGGTCTATATGTTAAGACTGGGGAGAAAAAGGTAATATTTTCAGATTGTGGAGGTGTTTGTGGTATGTTTATTTTTTTTAAAAAGGGCAATAAGAGGAACATATACCTTTTGAGAGAAGCCCTGGTGGCACAATGGTTAAGCACTTGGTTGTTAACTGAAAGGTCAGCAGTTTGAAACCAGCTGTGGCTTCGTGTGAGAAGACCTGGTGATCTGCTCCCATAAAGATTACAGCCTTGGAAACCCTACAAGGCAGTTCTACTCTGTCCTATAGGGTCACCTGAGTTGGAATTGACCTGATGGCACACAATTAACAACATACCTTTTGAAATAAAGAATCTAGCTATGAGTAAAATCTAGGCCTGAGATTCTACGGAAAAGGAGCTATTTAAGGGTCAAATGAGACTTAAGAGACAGTCTCCAGATGGAGAGAAGAGATGGAACAGGGTGTTTCTTCCTGTATTGTTAAAAAGGCAATGAATTAGAATAGTTAGTTCTCTTTCTATTGATTTAATAGAGAGTGTCATGGATTGAATTGTGTCTCCCCCAAATATCTGTCAACTTGGCTAGGCCATGATTCCCAGTACTGTGTGATTATCCACCATTTTGTCATCTGATGTGATTTTCCTATGTGTTGTAAATCCTACCTCTATGTTAATGAGGCAGGATTAGAGGCAGTTATGTTAATGAGGCAGGACTCAATCTATAAGATTAGGTTGTGTCTTAAGTCAATCTCTTTTGAGATATAAAAGAGAGAAGAAAGCAGAGACATGGGGACTTCATACCACCAAGAAACAAGAGCCAGGAGAACAGTGCATCCTTTGGACATGGGGTCCCTGCCCTGAGAAGCTCCTAGTCCCGGGGAAGATTGATGACAAGGACCTTCCTCCAGACCTGACAGAGAAAGCCTTCTCCTGGAGCTGGCACCCTGAACTTGGACTTCTAGCCTCCTAGACTGTGAGAGAATAAATTTCTGTTTGTTAATGCCATCCACTTGTGGTATTTCTGTTATAGCAGCACTAGACAACTAAGACAGACGATTCTGTTGAATAATACTAAGGAACTGGCTTTAAGTCACTTCACATCCTCCCTTCCCTCAGAACCCAAACTCTAGTTTACCACATGGTTAAAAATAGGATAAACTCTAAGAAGGTCTTGTCTTGGTCTGCCTTACCCTCTAAGGCTCCCTACTGCTGCTCTTAAGAGTAACTCAGTTACATTATCCCATTGCCTTCCTTCCTCATTTTCAAAAGACTAAAGGTTTCCTCCTTTAAGGGAAGGGTCCCCAACTACTAACTTCCCAGAAAATGCATGCTTTGTTTGGTGAAGGTGTACTATGGAGAAGCTGTTTCTATCACATACAAGCATAGTACAGAAACAGTGATAAGACTCAATAAATTCACCAAAGGCAGCACTCAAACGTCTTTAGTTTTTTTGCAATTGTCAGGGGTAGATAGATACCAGTTATGTTTCAAATTATTTTAAATCCTCCGCCCCAATACATGGATTAAAAATTGACAGTCTGAAAAGAGATCATATAAAGGACAGAGCTGGAAAATTTATTAGATAAAAATCCATGTATCATAATAATGATACACGGGGATGAGTGCAGGTATATTATACCATATCTGACCCTAGGCAGACTAGTATATTATTTGTTTATAGATGCAGATATTTTTCTCATCTTTCTACTGGATCCTTGGGAAGGTACCACTTCTAACCAAACTGAGATAGATTCAGAGGGCAATAAACAACAAGAAATCAAAATAGTATGGTTACCTTAAATAGTGACAATATTTAAATTATTGCGATAGTAAATATGCTTTGTGTTAACATTTATCTTTAATCCATACAAGCCAAGAGTTCTTGTAGGACTTTGTATTTTATGGACTGATCTGTAAAAATTTCTCCCAGGCTCTCTGCACAGCCCTGTCCGATTGTCGATTAACCTCATAAACTTCTCTCTCTCTCTCTTTCCCCGGATACAAAAAACCTGTTGCTGTGGAGTCGATTCCGACTCAGCGGCCCTACAGGTAGAATATAACTGCCCCCATAGGGTTTCCAAGGAGTGGCTGGTGGTTTGAACTGCTGACCTTTTGGTCTGCAGCCAGCTCTTAACCACTGCGCCACTGCTGGGTATAAAAAGCATACAAACTGGAGAGGAAACACCAGGCCTAGGAGCACCACGCAGTGGAGTCACTGGAACTCCTGAACCATAATATAAACTAAGCAACTCAAAGTATGCTGATTCAGGAGCTATAGAACAAGAGTGGCACCAATTTTCTCCTAGTTGTAATGGTATGACTGCCAGGCCAGATCATGGGTCAGCGACTTGGCTATCACCAGCAAGGTCATACGTTGGAAGCAAGGAATAAGGGAGCGGGGGCAATGCGGGACAAACCAGTGGGGGAAACAAAAGGGTCTCAAAGCAAGGAGGTGCCACGTGTCCTGGCGCCTGCAATGGCCTACGGGGGCAAGAAGAGGTCACTGCAGTTCAATCACCGCAGAAAGTCCTTTCCTCAAAGTGTTACAAGTTCTGGAATGAAAGACACACCTGCATACACAGTACTCTCGGTTCCTCCCAAAGCTGTTATATCCTGACCACTGGAGGAGGCTCTGGACAAAAAGTCTTTCAGCCACTTAGTTGGCAGATGGTGGGCTTAAATTTTTACATGTTGTGCCCAGCAGCCTGCAAATAACTACAGCAGCACGCAGAACCCTGAGATAGAAAACATGCTGTGCCCTCTGCCGAACTTATGGCCAGCATTTGTGTCCTCTGGCTCTGGCCTTAGGCACCCATCTTCCCCAGGGAACAAATTCCAGAACGGAGGGAGAGAGGGTGGGTGCTACCCCGGGCACTAGTCCCGGAAAGTGACCGCTGATTCCGCCCCGCCCCTGCCCCCACCGGGCCTTGGCCGGACCACTCTACCAGCAGTTGACCAAAGCGAGTAAAACGGAAAGCAAACCCTCCTCCGCACCAGCCTCCGTTCCCAGGACGTGCTCCCACCCCTCCCCCTCTGTCCCGGCCAGCCCAGCCACGCCGGGAGCCTTGTGGGGACCCAGTGGCCGACGCAGGGAAGGCGGAGGGCCGCCGCCCCCAGCAACGCGGACATTAGTCACACGGCAAGAGGCACGAGCGGGGACCGGTGCGGGGAGGAGGCAGGCGGCGCGGCGCGCAGGGGCTGAGGAGTGGGAGGACGGAACGGAGAAGAAATACAGAAGGCTCCTCCGAGCTCGGGCGTAGCCAGAGGCAGGACAGGGTTACGAGGTGGCCACTTACGAGTCTCCCAGATAGTCATGGAAACGGATACGGCCGACAGTGCTGTTGGCCTCGAAGTTGGGGGCCTTGTCCCCAAGAAGCAGACCTCCAGGCATGGCGGCAGCGGTGACGCGGAGGATGAGGGGGCACAGCTGAGGCAGCAACCAGCCGGCTAGTTCTGGCGAAAAGAAGCGGCGGTCCCCTTTAGCGGCGGAGTAAGCGGGGCGGGGCCTGCGGGGGCAGGAGCGAGGGGCGGGGCAGGAACAGGGTGGGCCCGGGAGCGGTGGGCGGGGCCGCGGCTGGCGTAGGCGGGAGGTGGGACCCGACTGGGTGGAGCTAGGGGCCGAGGGCGCGGAATCTACTGGCGGACTGTGTGCGGTAGCTCGGGTCTGCGTTAGCTTGACGAAGGTTCAGTGACGTTGCGACAGGATGCTTGGGGTGTACAGAGCTTGACATTGCAGGGCTTTTGGGTTTTGGCGGTGAAAGGAAGCGAAACGCCATGGGAAGGGGAGTCCTAAGGCGGAGGATCGCTGGGGCGGGTATATCCGGGCAAGTGGAGCACGTCCCCCGGGGGAGCCACGCGGGTCCGCGTAGACCGTCCTGCACACCTCCTCGCGTCTGATTCCCGACTGAGATCGGGCCACCCGTCCTCCCAGCCCTTCTGTAAGGAACGTCTGGAGTCCTGACCACGCCAGCCAGCCTAGCTTTGATGAGTGTGTTCTCAATCAGCGGATGTGGCAAGACTGAGACATGTGGCAGACCTTATGTCAGAGGAAGTGGCTTATTGCAGCAGAAATTCTCGGACCCACGTCAGGGGGAATAAACTTTCCCCCATCCCAGAGTTCATTATGAACCATAAAATAGTCAACACAGTTTTAATGAAGTCTAGATATAAAGTTTAAAACATATTTCTTGAGACCTACCGTGTGCAAATCAATTCTGCCACCAAGGGAGGTCCAAAAATAAACCCAAACCCGCTGCCAAGTGGAGTGGATTCCGACTCAGAGCAACCCTATAGGACAGAGTAGAACTGCCCCATAGAGTTTCCAAGGAGGGCCTGGTGGATTCGAACTGCCCTCGTTTGGATTAGCAGCCCTAGTTCTTAAACCACTATGCCACTAGGTTTTCCCCCAGGGAGGTAGAGGTTTACATTCATTTATGTGCTTTCTATGTGCCAAGCATAAGGTAGACAAGATGCCTACTCTAATGGAGCTTTCTCGTCCCTCACTAGACAGAGGACAGACAGGAAGTACATAATTAAACAAGAACATTTTAGATAGCAATAAGTCCTATTCAGTTCAGAGAAGTATTTAATTATGCAGAGGATTAAAATAAGGTGATGTGCTAGAAAGTGACTAGGGGACTGCTTTGGATTGGGTGGTCTGGAAAAGCTTCCAGGATAATGTAGTAAAGTACTCTTAGCACATACTGCCTAGCACATAGTAGGCAAAGCAAGAGTTATTGCATGAACCAGTGATTTAGGAAATAATATTGGAGTTATTATTCCCTGTCCCTGAGCATACAGAATGTGACCCAGCTGGAGCTGGGCTCACAAGGACTCACAAGGACGCATCAACTGGGCCCTGAGATAAGACAACAGATGGGACAATCTCAGAAATATCTTAAGAAAGTTTTCATAAAAGGGCAATAAAACCTAACCCAAAGGACTTCTCACCTTTTGTCTTGTTCTATTAACATTTAGTGAATAGGAATTTGTTGGACCGGTGAAGACCCTCCTGACTTTTGTAACTGAAACCCGTACCAATGATTGTTAAGAAAGACGATTCAAAATGTAAGGTTACAATTTCTAGCCAATCAGTGAAAAAGTGACGCTTTCAGTGATTCTACCCATTTTGTGGTGTTGATATACACTGATGGCTCTGTAACTGTTCCTTGGACTCGGGCAGACGTGGCTGTGGCAGCATGCTTGTCCGTTTTCCCATTCTTGCCTATTCCGTAACGTTCTTTGGACTTGGACAGATGTGTCTCTAGCAGCATGCTTGTCTGTTTCTCCACTTTTGTCTGTGCTGTGATATTTCCTTGGACTTGGGTGGGCATCCCTCTGGCAGCATGGTTGTCCGTTTCCCGCTTTTGCCCCTTTGAATATATGCCGAATAAAACTTTCTTTTTGGTTTACTAAACTCTGTGATGTTTTTCCCCTACAGCAATCACCAACCTTTTGGTTAGTAGTCTAACAGTTAACCGTTTGCACCACCCAGGGACTCCAGACAACACATACATACGCTCTATCTATTCAGAAGCTCCCCCACCTCTTGTACTGTAAGTTTCTTGTAGTAGAATTAGGAGTTCTTGTATCCCTAACTCTGTCAAAATTGTGAAAACTAATGATTGACTAAGGGCCATATGTTTCAAGGAAGAAAAAAAAAGAGGGAGCATATTTCTTTGTAAAAGCAATGAATACCCCCATATGCTTAATATGCAAACAAAATCAGAAGAAGATCCTCTGCCCTGCCTGGCCTTTGTAGGTAGTTGAGTTTCTCTGCATTACACAGAAGGTAGGTGCTCTTGGATGGAGCCTCTTTTCAGAGTGAAAAAGTTAGAGCTATTTTCCCCCAATTGCTATGGAGAAGTGTAATGTGAAAAGAGGACAGGTGGGGGCAGAGAGGCAGTCCATGGAAAGACCAGAACGCAGAAAACGGAGAGTTAATGGCTAAGGGAAGGATTTACTTTGATAGAGGGTGGAAGCCCTGATAGCAGAAAAAAATGTTTTCAGGTGTATGTCAGGGTTGGGGAGAACCTCTAGGTCCTTAGAATTATCTTCCAAGTGACAGGAAGGAAATGATTACAGGGATTTTCAGAGGGCTATGACTCTGGTTGCTATGAGTTGGAATTGACTCAATGGCAATGGGTTTGGGTTTTTTTTTTTGGTATGACTCTGGTGGCTAAACGGTTAAGCACTCGGTTGCTAACTGAAAGGTCAGTGGTTCAAACCCACCAGTTACTCCGAAGGAGAAGAGACCTGGCGATATGCTCCCATAAAGATTACAGCTTTGGAAACCCTATGGGGCAGTTCTACTCTGTCATACCTTGCTTACTGGGTCATCCATCCCTGTCAGGAATTGTAAATTTGTAAAGAGGCTTTGATTCTGTAGGAAGGGGCTGTGGGGTTGCAAGAGAGACAGATGCCAGCCATACCTAGAAGCAGAGTCTTTGATGTGGTTAAAAAAAAAAGTGAAATTATTCACTACAGATGATCTGCTAAGCAAGGTCAGCACCATGCTTACCTTGCCTGTGAATAATCTGCCCCTGGTTCTGTCCATACTGTTTGGACAGATTGAAGGTATTGGCAATGGCAATTTGGAAGAACAATGGTATATTATGAAGTTTGTCTCTCTAAGTAGATTGTGAACTCCTAGAGGTTTGACCACGTTTTATTGATAAATATTTGTGACCTATTAGACATAGTGAGCCTGCGGGTTAGGTTGCACAAAGTATTAGGGAAGCATTTGGCTACCTTTCAGCAGCCACAACAGGAAAGTTTTTGCTGTGTCCATTGGGAAGTTAAAGAGCAATGTGTTCCTAGTTGTAATCATAAATAGGTAAAAATTCTTATGCATGTGGGAGGAGATATATAACACTCAAAATTAATGTTAGGATGGTGGGATTATGGATTATGTTTTTTTTTTTTAATTCTTATAAACTTACTAGTTAAATTTGATTGCCTTTTTAGAAAATATAAATGAAAAGGTGGTCTGGGGCACAGGAAACTGTACATACAGATCAAGGCTGTGCTATCAACTGCTATGTTAGTGGGGCAGCACGCAGAACCCTGAGATAGAAAACATGCTGTGCCCTCTGCCGAACTTATGGCCAGCATTTGTGTTTAATGTGGTCACTTGCCTCTGTTATATCTACTACAGGACTTCTACAATCCAGAAAGAAATCAAAGTAGGAAATGTGGGAGTAAAAATGAAACAACAACAGCTTTTACAATGCTAGAATGATGACTAACTGTTAGAAGGGCTTTGGAGTAATAAATTCTGACACTTCTTTTCCCAAATAAAGCACCATAAATGCTATTTACCCTGAAAGAAACTGTTTATATGTTCCTCCAGTGGTTTTAGGGAAAAAAATTATGTAAATAAATGGTTAAGGGATTAGATTTAAAAGCATGATGTAATAGTTGAGTAACAGTCTTAGGCTGGGTTCTCTAGAGAAACAAAACCAGTAAAGCATATAAATATATATAGAGAGAGATTTATACTAAAGAAACACCTCACGCGATTGTAGAGGCTGGAATGTCCCAAGTCTGTGGATCAGGATAGAGGCTTCTCCCAATTCACGCAGCTGCAGGGGCTGGTGAACCCAAGATTGGCAGATCGGAAAGCAGGGCTCTGCTCATAGGCTGTAAAGACTGACAAATTCCAAGATGGGCAGATAAGCTGATAGCTCAAGTCCCAAGAAATGGAGGTCAGATGAACAGGAGGCAGCCAAAGGATCCAGAGCAAGCAAAAAGCCAGAACGTCTGTTTATATTCGGATGGAGGCCCCAACCCCAAGGAAACTCTCTTTCAATTGATTGACTACTCACAGCAGATTCAATCATGGGAGTGATCACACGTAACACTAAGAATCATGGCGCAGCCAAGCTGACACACAATCTTAACCATCACAGTAACCAAGGGCCAAAAGCCAACTTGGAATATCTTGGAAAATGGTGTCTTAGTTGTGCAGTGCTGCTATAACAGAAATACCACAAGTAGGTGGCTTTAAAAACAGAAATTTATTTTCTCATAGTTTAGGAGGCTAGAAGTCCAAATTCAGGGCGACAGTTTTAGGGGAAGGTCCTTCTCTCTTTTCAGCTTTTATTCCAATTCTTTGGCAACCATGTGGCCTATATCTTCCCCTCCTTTTGTGCCTGAGTGCTTAATTTACTCTTTTCTTATCTCAAAAGAGATTGATTTAAGACACACCCTACACTAATACTGCTTTATTAACATAAGGAAGAAAAACCCATTCCCCATTGGGATTAGAACCGCAGGTACAAGAAGCCCTTGTGGCGAAGTGGTTAAGAGCTTGGTTGCTAACTGAACTGTCATTGGTTCGAACACACCAGCCACTCCTTGGGAGAAAGATGTGGCAGTCTGCTTCTGTAAGGATTACAGCCTTGGAATCCCTATGGGGCAGTTCTACTCTGTCCTCTAGGGTCACTATGAGTGAAAATCAACTTGATGGCAATGGGCTT